GGTGGGACTTTGATGGGTGCAGGGCAGTACTCGGGGCAGTAAGGAGGTTGGCATGGCTGGAGCTGCAGTGTCTGCAGAGTAGAGTGTGGTGGTGTGGCAGAGGGCAGGGGCCACATGGGGCCTTGCCTTGGAGGATGGGGTGGCAGCCCATGATCAGGAGTGTGGGCCAGGCGTGGTGGCTCATGTCCGTAACCCCACCACTTTGAGAGGCCAAGGCAGGTGGATCACTTGAGGTCAGGAGTTTGAGACCAGCCTGGCCAACATGGTGAAACCCCATCTCTACTAAAAATAAACAAACAAACAAACAACAACAACAACAAACAGCTGGGCATGGTGGCACATGCTTGTAATCCCAGCTACATGGAAGGCTGAGGCATGAGAATCTCCTGAACCTGGGAGACAGAGGCTGCAGTGAGCCGAGATTGTGCCACTGCACGCCAGCCTGGGCGACACAGAAATGCTGTATCAAAAAAAAAAAAATTATAATAATAATAAAAATAAAGGAGTGTGGGCTCTGGCCTGGGATCCCAGTTTCATGTCTAATCAGCTGTGTGGCCTTGGAACAATCACTCCGCCTCTCTGAGCCCCTGGATCCTCAGCATAAAATAGGATGATGATGGTGACACCTACCGTGTGTGGCTGTTGGGAGCGACCAGTGAGAGGATGCCTGTGAGGCACCGGGAGGTGGGACGGGGGCTCAACACATTCTGGCTGTTCTCGGCAGTCACCCCTGGAGTGACCAGGAACCTGCAGGGGATCTGAGCCTGCGAGTGACATGTGCCCTTGGCCTGACTACACTTCATGCTGGCGGGCTCAGTGCTTCCCCTCTCTCTGTTTCCTTACTTGTTCAAAGAGAAACTGGACTAAGCCAAAGGAAAAATCTTCAAATGTCTCCAGGAGTGGGGCAGTAATTTAAGTGAGTGAGGGTGGTGCAGGGGAAGGCTGCAGGGAGTGGCGGGGACTGCAGTGCCTAGGGTGCCTGTGTCCCACCCCAGGGAGCAGCCTCCTCTCAGCCCAGCAGCTGTAGCCATGTGGGAGTGAGTCCAGACTGGTCAGAGATGCTAACTTCTCAAGAGAGGGAAACCCACGCCTTTGTGGGAAAACCTCCATTACTAATGTTAGCAATGCATTAAATATTTTTTTAAAGTATCATGTGTGGCAAAGCTAATGCTTCTGTTGGCAGCGGCCGCCATGACCACTAGGTGACTTTCTCTGCAGGTAAGGTGGGGAGCCACGGAAGGGTTGTGAGCAGAAGCAGCACGCGTTCCAGGCTGGGACCATCTCCAAGCCCTATCTACAACAGTCCCTCCCCTCCCGAGGCCTGTTTTCCTATGTACCGTGGAGGTGGGAAGCCAGACCCTCTCCTTGCTGACATTCTTAGGAGCAGTCTGCCTGGAAGATAGGGGCTGTAACGAGGCCCTGGCTCAGTGCTATCTCACAAGAGGTGCCAGGGAGTCTGGGGGAGCCTGGCCGCGCCAGACGGGGTCTGCTCTGTGTCTGGGAATGGCAGGTCCAACAGGTCCAGCCGGAGGTGGCTCTTAGAGCTAGTGTCAGTGAGGGCCTGGCTTCTGACTCCTAGCTCTTCAGGGTCAAAGGGCAGCACTTTCAGCCTTTTCTGGGACCAACTTCCTATTTGGGAGAGAAAGCAGACAGATCCCTGGCAGGAAATGACCTTCTTCCCAAAGCCCTGTTTTCCACTGGCGCCGACTTTCCACTGGCCACAAACGGGGAGTCCCCATGGTTGTCTCACTCAGCCCCTCCATCCCCCTCAGAGCCCAGGGGCCTCTTTGCCATGGCAGCAAACCCACCTCGCTAACATAATTCATTTAGTCTTGGCAACGGACAATTTTTCAGTGCCCGTATTTATTAGCGCCCAGCTGGGCTCCTGGGTCTGCCTCTCCCCTCTTCGCAGTCCCCAGGTCTCCTGGTGACCCTGAGGCCCAGCACCAGGTGTCCCTGGTGCTCTGAGCACTGTGGCCTCAGGGCTCCCTCTTAACTAGGCCACGCCAAGAGAGAAAATCATTTAGTGCAGCTCTCCTACCCCGAGAAGGCAGCCCCTTAATCATCTGAATTTAACTCCTCTCTGGTGCCAGGCTGGAGCCCTAGCCTCTCCTTGCACACCCCTAAACACAGGGAGCTCACCACCTTCTTTATGCTAGAATAATTCTGGCAATGCTTCCTTCTGCAGAAAGCAGGCCCGGGTACTGAGAATTTAACTAAAGGGTCCCGTCCAAAGAGCAGATGCCCTGAAAGCCACCTAGACTGTGAAAGATCAAAAGTGTATACTACTGTGTTTGTTTCTTTTTGAGACGGAGGCTTGCTCTGTTGCTCAGGCTGGAGTGCAGTGGTGCAATCTCAGCTCACTGCAAACTCTGCCTCCCGAGTTCAAGTGATTATCCTGCCTCAGCTTCCCAAGTAGCTGGGATTATAGGCGCCTGCCACCATGCCTGACTAATTTTTGTATTTTTAGTAGCGACGGGGTTTCACCATGTTGGCCAGGCTGGTCTTGAACTCCTGACCTCAGGTGATCCACCTGCCTCAGCCTCTCAAAGTGCTAGGATTACAGGCGTGAACCACCACGCCTGACCTGCTACCGTGTTTGTAATCACTGTTTCCATCAGATTTAACATAAATCTGCTGGTTATGGAAGGTGTCGAAATTAAATACCAAAAATAAAACCGCCTGTAATTTCGCTACCTAGGGCAGGGCTGGGGAAAAAAAGAAAAGGGTTTGTTATTTACTGTGTCCACACCTACCTCTAGGTAAACTTCCATCAATCACCTGAACTTCATCCGCTGCGCCCATCTGGCAAATTCCTCCTCTCCAGGGAAAACCTTTAGGTATTTAATATAGCTAACCTTTACTGAGCTCTGGGTTAACCTATCTAATTCTTGTGACAGCTCTGAGGCATCTTACAAATGAAAAAACTGAGGCTCAGAGAGGGCAAGTAACTTCCCAGAGGTTGCACAGCTAATAAGGGGCAGAGACATGAATCCATCGGGTGCCGGAACTGAAGTCTCTAAAGTAGACACGCACTATACTTTCTTCCTCCTCACCATAGGAGTGGATACCAGACTGCTCAGCAGCTCAGATGTTCGTTTATTCATTCTTTGCGGGGGTTTTTTTGAGACCGAGTCTTGCTCTGTTGCCTAGACTGGAGTGCAATGGTGTGATCTCGGCTCACTGCAACCTCCATCTCCTGGCTTCAAGCGATTCTCCTGCCTCAGCCTCCTGAGTAGCTGAGATTACAGGCGACCGCCACCACGCCTGGCTCGTGTGTGTGTGTGTGTGTGTGTGTGTTTCATTTTTGTGTTTTTAGTAAAGACACGGTTTGGCCATGTTGCCCAGGCTGGTCTCGAATTCCAGAGCTCAAGTGATTTACCTGCCTTGGACTCCAAAGTGCTGGGATTACAGGTGTGAGCCACCGTGCCTGGCCTCATTCATTCATTCTTTCTTCTTCACATTCACTCATTTATTAAGTTACTTGACATTCCTGAGCTCTGGTTCAGTGTCAGGTGCAGGCCGATGCCGTCCTCCACACCCCCCGCCCACATCCGCCACACTTTCAGATGCCCCAAGAACTTGAACTTCATTTATTACAAAGAACTGGGTTCACTGCATTGTATGATGAACAGCGAAGCCTAGAGGGGCAGCCCAGGCTGTGGCTCCAACAACCTCCCCCAACATGCCCAGCCCTGCATGAAGTCCTGGGTGGGTGAGGTCACCTGGACTGGGCCTTGGAGCTGTCCTGTATTTATAAAACCAAATGGGTCCAAAGACTCCTGGAGATACATACATATATATATATGAGACATAGGCTTCCTTTCCACAGGGCGTTTGTAAGTGGGACTGTTGACACCATCCCTGGGAGAGAAGAAAGTCGGCTGTGGCAGGGACTGGTCCCAGAGTGAGCCTAGGCGCTGCATCAGTTTGAGTGGCTGGTTAGCCTGGACCCTGGGCAGGTGTGGGGCAGCCCATCCTGCCAGCCACAGGAAGCTCTAGGCCACCTGGATTTGCAGGTCCTCGTCCTCGTCCAGGTCGCTGGCTCCATCCCCGGCCTCCTCGGTGCCAAAGCGAGCACTGCGGATCTTCCCGAAGAGGGGAGCGTTCTGCTGCTGCCTGCGGAGCCTGCGGGGTTGAGGTGATGGGAGGTTAGAGCAGCCTGGCCGGCAGTCCTCCAATAAGGTGGCTGCAGCTGGTGCAGCAGCAGTTAAGCCTTCCCTGGCGCTTTCCCCGCTGTCTCATCTCCTGTAATCTCCTTATATGATAGAGGTGCCATTATCACCCCCATTTTATAAGCAAGGAAACCAAGGCACAGAAAGGTGAAGTCATTCGCTCAAAGTCACACAGATGGTGGGGAGTGGGGCAGAGCTCTGAACTGAAGTGGGTGGTGCCAGAGCAGCTGGGCGGTTAGAGAAGTGAAGGAGTTGGCTCAAGGTCATGCTGCGGGATTTGAACCCAAGCCTGGTTCTCAGAGCACAGGCAGCAGAGTTGGGTGGTGGTGACGGTGGCGGTGGGCTGAGCCCTCTACATTCCCAGTGTCAGTGAGAAAGGGCTCAGCCCCAGTTTTTCCTCACATTAAAATTCCTAAAGTCAAAATTTACGAGCAAAACTTTGACTCTAAGAAGAGCTGGTGAAGGAAATGCCGATCCCTCCCCCCACCCCCCAGCAAAGTGGCCACCCCGGCTGCATCTTACTGGAAGGCATGAATTATTAACACGCAAGGGAGGGGCACAGGC